ACACAAACACACACATGAACACACACTCCAGAATGTAAAATTAAGGATTTTATTTCATTTCTGTAAAATGCCTTTTCAGATGTCTGGTCTAAAAACGTCTTTTACTTTCTTTAATCTTGCTATTAACAGAAATGGTGTCTATTATCAATGCAGTAAACAGTGAGAGAGTTACCATGAGAAATATAACGGCAAAATCAAGTCCATTTTTTCAAGAAGGCCATAATTAATGTATAGAAAAGATAAAGTACCTTCAGTTTCTCATACCTATTTATAATACTCACAGCATAAATTTATCGTTATCCTCCTTTACCCTGAAATTCCAAAGTCACTGGAAATATAGCTTTAAAACGAGCATTTTAATTTTCCATTTGTTTATCTTTGTGGGCATCTGAGAAAGTTTCTCTTTTTTTCCTGTTGTGGTTATATATATATATATATATATATATATATATTCTTTTGCTTTCCCTAGAGTTCAAGATTTCTTGTATCTTGTCTTTCATCATCTGTGGTTTAAGTACTAAAGTTCATGGCCCATACCCACATCCCCAATAAAAATTAACCTGCTTTCCATCTGAACCCTTGTTCTGCTTGTCTTTAGAATACTTCTATTCAGCTCTTAGATATATTTGACCCTGGTTACTGCTCTTTATTACGTCTCTCTTAGACTATGGCAATAGCTTCTAACTGACCTCCCTAACTCCCTCATTCTCTGCCCTTCAGAACTGCTGTTCATCCCAAGATGAAAATGACAAGTCACTTAAGCCACCGTCTCACTTCCAAACTTTCAGTGACTCCCTCTCCTCTAGGAGATACATTACAAACTGCTTAGTAGGATTTTTCAAGTATTTTTATTTTGGATCTCAATCCGATGTTATTGCATTCTTTTATACAAGCTCCCACTCACCATATATCCCACACTCCAGAGTTTCTTCATTTGCTGCAAGTCTTTTTCAGGGACCCCAACATGCACTGTGCTTTTATGTCAACGTGCCTTAACATACGCTATGTCCTATATAAAAATTCCTACCCACCATTTTGTCCTTCAAAACTGAAAGTTCATTTCGTGGTGAATATTTCCTAAATATTCAGGTAGGATTAAGCACTACTTCTCCTGACATCCCTGGCATGTGGCTCTTAGATAATTACACAATTATAAGGTTCTAACCTTAATCAATTTAGAGGTCTGTTTCCTGAAGCCCCTGGAGGGCAAGAGACTTGTCCTCAGGAACTGTGTTATTCCAGAGTCAACCATATACAGGGTCAAGTAAATTCTGCATGTTTTCACTGAGTATCTGTCTCCACCATTAGAACATAAGGTTCACGGTGTTAGGAAGTTTCTTGTTCACCGCTGTTCTCCCGGCCCTTTCACCTGCATATGTTTAGTAAACAGTGAATGGGTTAGGGAACTAGGAATCCTACAAGAAAGTAGTTCTCTGGAGGCTCAGAATGAGTCCTTCTGAAATCCATTTTGAGCACCTGAAAACAGATAGCAGGAAAAGGCTAATGAGAGAAGAGTACAATTTGAGAACAATTGGGGGGAAATTGGACTACTTCATTGGAGATACTGAATTAGAGGGCAATATTTCCAATGTTGGCCAACCAAGATCCTTGACAATTTAAAAAAAAAATCCAACAGAATCTGGCATTTAAGAAAATTCAATAAAAATAGAAAATTCATACAAAATGTAGGCAGGCTTGATAGGGGTGAGAGGGAAATTACGAAAAGCTCGACACCTTGGGTGTTTCTTATTACTGTTTCTTTTTTTTTTTGTTTTAATGTACATTTGCACAGTGCTTTTTCCATCTGTGTTAGGCACAGATAGGGCTTTAAGTCTGCTAACTCTGAGTATATTCTGTTGTGTAGACGCAGTTAAAAAGTAGCAGTTGTAGAATCACTTAATCTTTGTGTTAGGTGTAGGGTAGGCAGAGTCAGAGTCAGGCTAGTTCAGGTTGAATCTCATAACTACACTTAAAAAAGTTTTATAAATAAGAACAAGAAACAATGGTTTTTGGAGGGTAGTTGGGGACCTCAACCAGCGATACTCAGGGGTTAATCCTAGCTCTACACTCAAGAATTTCTCCTGGCAGTGACAGGGGGACCATATGAAATGCTGAAGATCAAACGTGGGTCAGCCACATACAAAACCCTGCCCACTGTACTATCTTTCTGGCATAACCTTTCTGTGTCCTTGTTTCAATAATCTATAATATGAGGATAATGATAAGACTAGTTTCATGGTGTGGCCATGAGAATTAGATGAGCAAATGATGTAAAACTTCAGGAACAGGGTCTAAGCGTCAGTTATTTCAGTGTTGACAGATTTTCGTTGTTGTTGTTGTTGTTGTTTAAATTTTTTTTGCTTTTTGGGTCACACCCAGCGATGCTCAGGGGTTATTCCTGGCTCTGCACTTAGGAATTGCTCCTGGCGGTGCTTGGGGGACCATATGGGATGGCAGGGATCGAACCCAGGTCAGCAGTGTGCAAGGCAAACGCCCTCCCTGCTGTGCTATCGCTCTGGTCCCTCAGTGTTGACAGTTTTTATCTACAAAAATCTACCATATCACATGCCCTGGACAGTGCTTTGTATGATTCTTAATACTTAATTTTCAAACAATCCTATGAGGCAAATGTAAGGGACATAGCAGGAAATCTACCAACGACTGTTTGATTCCGTGCCTCTGCCCTTAGATTCTGTCCTGTAAAACTTCTCAAAATCATTTCCTACATAATTATCAGGAAAAAATAACAGTTCCAATAGGCTTGACTTAATTGTACCAGAAAAACTCTGGACAGTACAAGTTCATTTTTGCATACTGCTAAAGTAACATGATAAATCATACAGATGTGGCACGATCACTTTTTAAAACCTAGAGATAATGATAATGAATACTTCAAAGCATTAGAAAAGATCATGCATGACAAAAATGCCCAGATCATATCTGGTCATTGGTCATTGGTCAATGCTTCACTATCCTGAAGATTATTTCTGTGGAACAGGAATGTAGAAATAAACGTGAAGTGTCAACACCAAAATGGAATGCATTTTAGTCAATTGTTAAAGTTGTACCTGTCAGTAATATAAAATTATTCAGCTAAAGCCCAGAGATGCTAAATAACAGAATTAAAAAATTCAAGGATCAGAAGGCAAGCTTGAAATCTAATTGATTCCAGCCTGGTGTTTCTGACAATTCTCATCCAGGTGTCTGGTCATTCAACGCAAGAAAAAAATGGTGCAGCCCAATGTAAGCTCTGTAGCACCAGAGATTTCCCAGACCACCACTACAGAGCTTACACCCAGAAATATTTGGTGGACCATGTGTTGCTTGAAATGTATTCAGGATTAGGGCTGCACCCAGAAATATTTGGTGGACGATGTGTTGCTGGAAATCTAATCAGGATTTTGTATGTACAAGACATGTATCTTAATCCCTGTTCTACTTCTCTGTCCCTGTATCAAACTTTTACTATATAACTAATGTTCATTACAGATTAGAAATATAAAGCCCTAGTTCTTTTTAATTTTTTTGTTTTTGGGGGTCACACCCAGCGATACACAGGGGTTTACTCCTGGCTCTTTACTCAGGAATTACTCCTTGTGGTGCTCGGAGGACCAGATGGGATGCTGGGAATCGAACCTGGGTCAGCCACGTGCAAGGCAAATGCCCTACCCTCTGTGCTATCACTCCAGCCCCTAAAACCTTTATTCTTTGTAGTAAAAAAATCTATTTCTGAAGATAATTGGAAATGGACAAGTTGATATACCTCAACCTATAATCATTTGGCACTACCTTCCCAGGAATGCTGGCTATGTAAAATGTGTGACCAACTGATTGAGAACTGATTCTACTTCTTTTTTAGGGGGAAACACATAAACTTTCTATTAGTTGGTTTTCGCTACTTATTTACATTTATTTTTCATAGGTTTTTAATGGGATGAACTTTATAAGGATTAGTTTTAGTCCTTTGCGCTGAAGACTTCTAACACCCATCACCAAAACTACCCCTCTCATCCTTCCTCCTTCTCTTCCCTCCCTGTTAATGTTGAGAACCACCATTGTTTGCACCAAGTCTAGGAGCTTCTCCAACGTGAATAAAAACTCATTTCTGGATGTTTTGCTAATCTGTTTACTTCAGTTCTTTATATTGTACATAGTAGCACTGCTGTCCCTGTTGTTCATCGATTTGCCTGAGCGGGCACCAGTAACATCTCCATTGTGAGACTTGTTACTATTTTTGGCATATTAAATATGCCATGGGGAGCTTGCCAGGCTCTGTCGTGCGGGTAGAATACTCTCTGTAGCTTGCCGGGCTCTCTGAGACGGAGGGAAGAATAAAACCTGGGTCGGCCACATGCAAGGCAAATGCTCTACCCACCCTGAACACACCCGGTATGGTACATGTGAGTGAAAATATCTAGTAATTGTATGCCACTGCATTGCTTATTTCTTTTTTAAAGCGTGTTGAGTTTATGTGTCAAATTTTACAATCATATCAAAGTTATCATCTTCTACTTCCACTGCCACTGTACCAGACTCTCATCCAGGGTCCCCAAACTCCTCCACCATTTTCTCTCCTCCACCTTTCTCCACAACCTTAGCATCCTCAGTTCTTGGTTCTGTTGATCATGTCTCAGGATCTGTTTCCATTGGGAGATCTCCTTCCTTTTTATTTTGTAAACGCATATGAATGAGAGCATCTGAGAACATCTAGTATTTGTTTCTTTCTGACACACTTCCTGTAGGCAGGCATCCTCCACCTTGATCCAAATTGAAGTAAGTTGCAAAATTCAATCTTTTCTTGTACTGACTAGTATTCTATATTGTCACATTTTTTTTTATCCTAGCATCTGTTGTTGAGTGCTTGGATGGTTTTCAGACTGTAAATAAAGCTGCAATCAATGTAGTGTGTGTTCTTTGGCATTAACATGTGTCTGTGTGTATGTGTGTGTCTGTGTGTTTGTGAGTGTATTCTTAGCATCGTTGTATCTTTTCTCTGACAGACATGAAAATGGCAGTCATGCTGGGCCAGGTCCCATCCCAGTCACTGAATGGAGTGTCCAGGAGGAAGGTGAGCCGTCCTGCAGTCCCAGAGGAGGGTTACGTCCCAGCAGAGGCTGCCGTATCTGCTCCCAGAATTCCCAGCGTCCCATCTCATGCACACCCCCGTGCTCCAAACTCCGCTGAACAGCGAACGTACCTGCAGGAGAGGAGGGATTGGAAAAAGGCCCAAGAGCAGTTGCTCCGGTACCAGCTGGCAGGCCAAGATCAAAGGCTGCTGCTCCGCCCAGACCTCAGACAAAAGGTGCAACAAGTGCAACAGCAGAGACAGCTGGGAGAGAAAAATGGGAACTTGAGAATTTTCCAGGAAATAAAACCCTCCAATGGTGCCACTCAACACCCAGAAACTCTTCAGAACAACTGTAATCAAGAAGAAATCTAGACCTTTGGACCAAAATGCAGGTTCCATCACGATCACGATCACGATCATCCTGTTGTTCATCGATTCTCGAGCAGGCACCAGTAACATCTCCTTCGTCCTAGCCCTGATATTCTAAAAAGTGCCACATTCAAGGCTCTTTCAGGGTTAGGAGAATGAGACACATCATTGTTACTGGTATTTGGCATATTGGGTACACCACGGGGAGTTTGCCAGACTCTGCCGTGTGGGCAGGTTACATTCAGTAACCTGCCAGGTTGTCCAAAGCAAGAATGAGATAATAAGATGTCAATTGGCCACGGGAGCTGGGTTTTATAGTCATATGGGCATTGTTCCATATGCTTCCTGATGTTTAGCAGTCTTGACTGATCTGTGGGGGCAACAGATGGGAAAATATGGACTCTGTTATCTTCAGTTATAAAGTCAGAGGCAGTTGTGAAAAATGCTTAGAGAATGTATTTCTTGTATTTATCACGGATTCTAGTCCATTGCCAGTCAATTCATAGCTTTGTATGAAATTTTTGCTTGTTTTGATTAAAGATAAGGACTTAGGATATATGTCTCTCTCTAAGTTGAGGGAGAAAATGTAATAATGCCTTTCCACAATATGTCACCACATCACAACCACCATCACTACCACAGTAGTAATATCTCTCCCTTGTACCACCCTCCCTGCCTTGGTAATTCAGTTCTAGTCAGAGTCCAAGATTTTGATTTCATTAGACACTGACTCTTCCCTTCTTGCTTCGTTTTTTTTTTCCTTTTTGTGTCACACCTAGCAATGAACAGGGGTTACTCCTGACTCTGTACTCAGGAGTTACTCCTGGCGGTGCTCAGGGGACCATATGGGATGCTGGGAATCAAACCCAGGTCGGCCACATGCAGGCAAATACCCTACCCACTGTGCTATCTCTCCAGCCCCTCTTGCTTCGTTTTTATATATCACATATAAATGAGATAATACAATATGAATCTTACTCCTTTCGACTTATTTCACCCAGTATGTCTTTTACCAAGTCTATACAAGTTATAGCAAAAGGCACAATTTTATCTTTTCTAAAGTTGGGATATTTCCTTTGTGTTATATACAATAACTACTTTTTGTTGTTGTTTTTGGTGACAGCTAGAGGTTCTAAGGGCTTATTCCTGGCTCTGTGCACAGGGATCACACCTGTGGAGCTTGGCAGACAGTCTAGGCAGCTGGAAATTGAATCTGAATTGGCCAAGTGCAAGAAAAAAGCCTAATCTGCAATACCATCTCTATAGGCCAACTTCTTTATCTACTTACCATTTCTTTAGCCCTTGAGTAAATTCAGGGCTGGAGCAATAGCACAGCGGTAGGGCGTTTGCCTTGCACGCAGCCTACTTGGCCAACCCAGGTTTGATTCCTCCGCCTGTCTCTGAGAGTCCGGCAAGCTATGGAGAGTATCTCGCCGGCATCGCAAAGCCTGGCAAGCTACCCATGACATATTCAATATGCTAAACACAGTAACAACAGGTATCACAGTGGAGATGTTACTGGGCCCACTCGAGCAAATCGATGAACAACAGGAGGACCCTGACCGTACTGTGCCGTGCTGGAGTAGATTCATGATTTTGGCTATTGCTAAAACTGCTGCAAAGAATATTGGTATGGATATATTTTGAGATGATATTTCATATTTGGATAGACTATGGGAGTGGAACTGCTTTATAAAATACAATATTTGGGAAATAGCTAGACAATTGTCTAATAGAAGCTGAATTTATGTTCCCACCAGCTGCACATGACGGTTATTTTTTTTTCTCCACACCACATTGTCACTTTTTTGTGGCCTTTTTGATTTAGGACATACTCACATATATGAGTTTATATCCATTATCATTTTGATTTTCGTTTTCCTGATAATAAATTATAATATTTTTCATGGTCCTAGTGCAATCTTGGCTTTCCATGATGTTAAACTCTTCTTCCCCTTTATTCATGGAGTTGTTTTATTTACTCTTGTTGAGTTTTGTGAGTTACTTATATATCTTGAGTATCAGTCCTTTATTAGATTATGATGTGCAGATATTTCTTCTATAAAATGTCTTCTTATTTTAGTATTAGTTTATTTTGTCATATGGAGCTTTGTAGTGTGATGCAATCTGTTGGTTTAATTTTGGTTTTATTTCCTTTATGATTGAAATAAATTTCCAAACACATAACAGAAATCAATATCATGGAGTGTTTTGCGTATGCTTCTTTAATGAATTTTGTGCCTTGGCATCTAATACAAAAGTTTTTTATCAGTTTTAATTTAAATGTCATGTATATTACGATATAGTGATTTATATTTCCCAATAGCATTTAATAAAACAATTTCCTCCATGTTTTACTTATTTTTAACTTATGCCAGTATTCTTCCTGACTTTAATCTTGATAATGATGTAATACTGATTCATAGCACAGCGGTAGGGTGTTCGCCTTACAAGCGGCCAACATGGCCGACCTGAGTTCGATTCCTCCGCCCCTCTCAGAGAGCCCGGCAAGCTACCGGGAGTATTCGATATGCCAGACACAGTAACAACAAAGTCTCCAATGGAGACGTTACTGGGCCCGCTCGAGCAAATCGACGATCAACGGGAGGGCCTTTACCTTTACCTTACCTTTACCAGTAGAGGTTGTCCTTAAACTTTCTCTGGGATTACTGCCCATAATGCTGTGGGTTTCTTTCACAGTAGGGGTAATGGAAAAAAAATGGATTGTCTGATTATTTTTGCTGTATTACAGCAAAATATTTCTTAGTCTTAGAAAAAATGTCAAGGACAGAAGTTTCTATTCTCCCCTGATCTATCAGGGGTAGTTTTTCCAACTACAAGGCAATTTTCTGCTTTTTATTTTTTTTTTAAGAAGCTGATTTTACTTTACGGTTTAAATTCAATCTTTAATTGGAACCTGTAGTAGATAAAAAAGCAAATTAATTTTACAATCCATCAGTATATTCTATGAAAATTTATATTCTTGTGGGCTTTTTTGAGATTGTAGTTCAGAAAAACTATATAAAAGTAGTAAGTTTGGGGAAGGAAATTGTCCACGAACCAAAATGTTATTTTCAAAGAGTTTTTTCTTAATAACTGGCTGAAATTTAAACTGGAAGAAAAGTGTGTCGAGAAAGAAAAGAACAAGTGACAAACTGTATTATAAGATAACTTATTTACCATAGAACTCTACTTTAGGAGAAGATTTTGCATAGGACTACTCAGTAAAAGGCAGAAGAGAGGATATGTCATATGTAACCTCTCAAAACTGCCTGCTGAGAATTCTAATAGACACCATAGTAGAGAGTCTACTGATATTGATGAATTGGTGAGAGTGTTTAAGGTACTTTCACTGAATTCCGCATTTGCAGACAACCACCTGAATTGAAACTAAAGGATCCTTTAAGCATCCATGTTCTTCGTTTTAGACACAGTGTCTGGTGCCCCAAGAGATTAAAGCTTGTAGGACAGAGGAAAGGGCAATCTCCAGAATAAGTTGCTCTTTGATTTTCCTCAATATAAAGCAGAATGTTTCACTCTGAAATAATAAAGGAATGTCCTGTACTTGAATTAAAACAAAGGTAAAAGGTAAAAGGTAAAGGCCCTCCCGTTGATCGTCGATTTGCTCGAGCGGGCCCAGTAACGTCTCCACTGGAGATTTTGTTGTTACTGTGTTTGGCATATCGAATACTCTCGGTAGCTTGCCGGGCTCTCCGAGAGGGGCGAAGGAATCGAACTCGGGTCAGCCATGTTGGCCACTTGTAAGGCGAACAACCTACCGCTGTGCTATCGCTCCAGCCCTACTTGAATTAAAATAGAGAAATAAAACACAAACTTCCATTGCAGAATTTAAAATAATGGTACCCTGTAATTAGCCACCTTGGAGGTCTGGCAGAAAGTCATTATCTACAGGTGATCAGTGAAAAAGTTGGCTCAGTCTACCTATCTCTCCTTTACAGGAATGTTCTTTCCAGTCTTGAGATATTTTGTTGACATCTTACTTCTTTTTTATTGTTATTTTTTTATTAGTGAAACCCCATGAGGTATCTTACTTCTTAATGTTAACCCCCAAATACGTAAGCAGTCTTCCATGACACAGGTTGAAGGAGAAAGAAGTAGATATTAAAGCTGATGTTCTCCAAAGGGATGTCAGTGCGTGCACTCTATGTTCAAGGAGTGTCTTGATGGACATCTGGCCTATAGTGAGCTAACTCAGGGTTTTCATGAATGATTAGTCCTTCAAAGCAAAATAAACATTTTTTGCTGTTACCATCAGTATTTGAAAACAACAAAATAAAAATGATTTAGTTTTGGCAGAGTATTTTTGAAGTTTAATTCATCTCTGCTATAACCTTTTCATATTTTAGATTCTTGGTATATGAAGTCATTTGTATTTGCATTATTAAATTTCTCACAACCACTGATTTCTCATGAGCTAGAACTTTTAATACATGAATGTATCAGAAGTCGACGCATCTGAGGATTATAAAATTAGCATTGTCTGATGAGATTTTTTCACACATGTCTTTCACTGCAGTTTTTGCTTCTGGCCTCAAATTCCATCCCAGGTTGTTCCTGAACTCTGCAACATTTTTTTTTTCAGTTGACTACTGAGAATTACCACTATCTGGTTAGTATGCTAGTATATTTGTTCCCCTTTATATTTTCCCAAACACAATGCAAATCACTGAATTCAGATCACAAATTCAGAGGAGTCAACCATGACTCCTCATTCCATCTCACCCTCACGTTTTGTTCTTTCTAAATTCCTTCTTTACTCATCTTCTATATTCTTATTCATCCTCCACGTGCCAAAAGAAATACAAAAAAAAATACCCCTCTGTTTTCCGGAAGAATAGTTTGGTTGGTTTTAATTCTATGTTTGGGAACAAACGTAATTCTAGTAATAATTCTACCAAAAGTCTTGCATAGAGGAGGTCAAAATAGATATTTGGACCTGGATAAAAGTTATAAATGAGTTTATTCTGTGTTTGTCTTCTTTG